ACACAAATACTACTAACAAATAGTACCTCAGTCAGGTGATCAAGGTAACATCAATAATGATAAGTCATATTGATAGTGTGTATTAATATGTGAAGAAAACGGCACTTTAGCTCTGTCGTCTTCCTCCCAAAAACCTGTAATTCCAGTCTAATCATAAGAAAAACATCAGACAAGTTGCAGCAGAGGAGAATCCTACAAAATACTTGACCAATATTTCTCAAAACTGTCAAGGTCATCAAAAACAAGGAAAGTACGAGAAACTATTACAGCCAAGAGGAGGCTAAGGAGTCACAACAAGAAGACATAATGTGGTATCCTGAACAGGACTGTGGTAGAAAAAAGGGATATCAGGAAAAAACTAAGGAAATCTGAATAAAGTATGGACTTAAGCAAATAATAGTGTACAGCAGTTCCCCCTTACCCATAGTATTGCTTTCCACAGTTTCAGTTACCCACAGTCAGTTGCAGTCCAGAAGCAGATGATCCTCCTGAGTATTGTCAAAAGGTCAATGGCAGCCTAAGGCTACATTACAATGCCTATCATTCACCTCACTTTCTCTTACCACATAGGTGTTTTATCTCACATCATCACAAGAAGGGTGAGTATAGTATAATAAGATACTTTGAAAGAAAGACCACTTTCACATATCTTTTATTACAGTATATTGTTATAATTGTTCTATTTTATTATTGTTGTTAATCTCTTACTTTGCCTAATTTATAAATCAAACCAGCATATGTACATAGGTATAGGAAAAGACATAGTATACATATAGTATACATAGGATTCAGTACCACCCGAGGTTTCAGGCATCCCCTGGGGATCTTGGAACATATCTCCCATGGGTCAGGGGGAACTACAGTAACAGTATTGATGGGTTAATTGTAACAAATGTGCCATACCAATGAAAGAAAACTGGGTGTGGGACATATGAGAACTCTCTATATTATCTTTGTATTTTTTCTGTGAATCTAAATCTTCTCAAAAATCTATTTTAAAAATAAAGGAATGATAAACATACACACACACACACAAATACATAGGACAAAATTTTTGATCCAGAACTTCCATGTCTATTAGTATTGCAAACAAATACCCTGAGCAACTCTCACATTGAAAATATCTAAATATGCTGGCTATAATATTTTTTAAAAAGATCTCTTTTCATGAATTCAATGAACTGACAGGATAATAAGGAACACTGTAAGGCCAAACCAATAATAAAATATATGAAAGCAGTTACTCAAAAAAGGTAAGTTGAGTATAAAGCCAGATTTGGCCCTGAAAGCATCTGATAAACTTGAACAAACTTGCATTTTGTTTTTTTGAGTTTAATGGGTCATTGAGAAAGGCTACAAAGAGCAGGACCCTCCCAAGGGGGGAATTCTAAGACTACTCTCCTTCTTTCCTAAAGCTGGGACTACCTAAAGGATTATACATTTAGTGTAAAAGTAAACTAGAAATAAAAACTTATCCCTTTTTTCAGACTGAAAAAAAAGTTCTACTGTCTCAAACCATAGAAATAGAAAACTCCTGTGAATTCCATAGATGTGCAGTCTGAATTTACACTACTCAGGTAGCCCAATAAACAGCAAATCAAAATTTTTATTTTAAGTTTCTCTGTATTAAAAGGGCTCCCAGATGCCTGGCAAAAGCAAACCTAAATCCTGTTTGGACAACCCACTTTTAACCAGTCTTCAAGGAATTCCTCAAGATACAGCTCCACAAAATATAAGTTCACAGTAAAAATTCACAAAGCACATAGGAAAACAAAGCCCTATGCATGAGAGCCAGAAAGAAAGAAAAAAGAATGAGAAACAGACTTTCAAAGGATTCAGAGTAAATATTTCTAATATATTTTAAAAAAACAAAGAAGAAATTGAAAATGTGAGTTCAACTTAAGAGATAACAAAAATTACAATAAAGATTATAAAATAAATAGAACTGACTGAAGTAAAAAAATTTAATAACTGAAATTTAAAATTCAATGAATAAGTTTAAAAGCAGATTTGACCAAGAAAAAGAGAATCAGTAAACTGAAAGACAGATGTGAGGATATTACCCAAAATGCAGTTAAGAAAAACAGAAATATGGAGATGATGAGAGGTAAAGGGTAGAGTGAAAAAAATATTAATACAGATTCAATCATAATTCTAGAAGAAGAGTAGGAAGAGCATGGGCCAAATGTAACATTTTAAGAGAAAATAGCTGAGAATTTTCTGGAACTAATAAAAAGCACCAAGCCACAGATTCAGGAGGCATAACAAATAACAAGGGTAAGTTAAAAAAAAAAACAACAACCCACCTTTAGGAACAGCACAGTAGAACTGCAGAATGCCCAAAGCAAAAGGATTATCTTAAAAGCAGAAAGTCACTACAGTTAACTCTTGAACAAAGTGGGGGTTTGGTGTGTAGTTGAAAATTCATATATAACTTTTGACTGCCCCAAAACTTAACTGCTAATAGCCTACTGTTGACTAGAAGCCTTACCAATAACAAACTGTCAATTAACACACTCATATTTTATATGTCTTACACACTGTATTCTTTTTTTATTAAAGTATCATTGATATATACAATCTTATGATGGTTTCACATACACAAAACATATATACTGTATTCTTACAATAAAACAAACTAGAGGGAAAAACCTTATTTCAAGTTACAAATCTCCAAAAACTTTTTCAATATACCTATTGAAAAATATCCATGTATAAGTGGACCAGCCCAGTTCAAACCCATGTTGTTCAAGAGTCAACTATACTTTCAAAGGAAAGATTAATAGACTGACACTTGACACGCCAGCAGGAACTATGGAAGCCAGGAAACAGTGGAATAATACCTTTAATATGCTCAAATAAAAAACTATAAACCTAGAATTCTATATTCAGTAAAACTGTCTTTTAAAAACAAGAATAAAATAAAAACCCTTTCAAACTAAAAGTGAGAGGGTTTCTACCAACAGACATTCACTACAGGAATTCTAAAAGTTGTAATTCAGATAGAAAGCTATCTATTTCTTGAGAACAAAGATAAAGTAATTAGCAAAGAAAGTGGTAAATAGGTGAATCAAAAAAGGCAATGACTAGATGAAACAATAACGATAATGTCTTCTGGGCTTTAAAACAAGATAGAATTAAAATGCATGATGAAAATAAATTGGGAATACATAACTGGAGTCAACGTTTTCCATAGTCCTTTTATTTTTGGGAGTGGGGGTAATGACCCTAATTTTGGACTTGAAAAGTTGAGTACGGTAATACAATTTCATGGTTAAACACTCAAAGAATAGAGTGTATAACTTCCAAGTTACTGGAAGAAAATAAAAACTGAAAAAAATTTCAATCATTTTAAAAGAAGGCAGAAAAAGATAGAAAAAGACATGGTGGGGGGAGGTGAATCAAATAGAAAGTGCACACACACACACACACACACACACACACACTAGGAGGAAATCCAAATATGTTAGTAACCACAATAAATGTAAATGGATTACATGGTCACATTTAAAGCCAAGACAGTCAGCTTGATTACAAGTAAATCCACCTATATGAGGTTTATAAGAGAGACATAAAGCAGGACATAGACATTTTTGAAGTAAAAGGATGGAAAAAGATATACCAGGCAATCAATACTCACAGCAACAGCAATTTGGTTAGCTACATTTTATCAGACAAAAGAGACTTTAAGGCAAAATGTATTACTAGAGAAAGATCAATTCATCAAGAAGTTGTAACAAGTCTGAACAGCATGATTCACAATTTTATTTAATGGATATATCCAGGAGAAACTCAACATTACAAAGTATGTATTCTCTTAAAATAAAAAAATACTTAGAACAGAATGATATCAATATACCGCAGAGGTAATACAGATAAAGCAGTACCTGGGAGGAAATATAGAACCTTAAATGCTTTTATGTCAAAAGAAAATGACTGCGATGGGCTGCTTCAGCGTGCCTTCCCAAAGAGCAAGTGATCCAAGAGTGAAAACCAAATGGCATACAACTTGAGAAGTTCAGAAGAGGAAAACCAGAAATCCAAAGGAAGCAGTATAAGGAAGGAAATAATAAAGATGAAATCAGAAAACAATACTTTACATGGCATTTCCTATGTGTAAAACACTATTCCAAATTCTTAACACCCACTAATTTAAGGAAATGATACAACAGAGAGGATTAACAAAACCAAAATGTGATGGTTTTTAGAAAAAACGATTAAAATTTAAAAACCTTTGGCAAGATTGTTCCAGGACAGAGAGAGGGAGGGCATCCAAATAGTAATAGGTATGAAAATGAGAACACTATAAATATGACAGAGGTTAAGTAGATAATGAAAGTAGATTTATGAAAAAATGTGTACCAACAAATTTGAAAACTTGCATGAAATGGACCAGTTTTCAGGAAAGAAAAATATAACCTACTAATACTGACTCAAGGATAAATACAAATCCTCAATAATCCTATAACCATTAAGGAAGTGAAACAAGAGGTTAAGAGCTTCCCTCAAATAAATTAGTTCCAGGTCTTTTTATTAGTGAGTTCTAAGATACATTCAAGGACTAAACAATTCCAATTTACATAAACCAATGTAGAGACTAGAAAAGGATAAAGCACTCCCCAACTAATTTTGTGAAACTAGCAAAATCCTGATACCAAAACTTGATGAGAACTTTATGAGAAAGAAAAATTAGAGGTCCTAACACAGGTGCAGAAATCCCTAATAAAATGTCAGGAAACTAAATCTAATAATATTCAAAACGACAATGCATTATGACCAAGTTGGGTTTAAACTAGGAATGCAAACTTGGCTTAACTGTGGAAAATCAGAGAGAGCATGGAGGTGGGGTGTTGAGCAGAGGCTCAGCCACGCCCAGCGCAGCCCAGCCCAGGCCACCGTCCCCGCAACCCCCGCCACCCCGCACCCAGGAGACTCGACTGTAGTTGATGCATGATGAGGGCATGAAATGAGTGCCTTACGTTCATTTATTCACTCACCAGATGTATGCTAAACTCTCCCGGAGTACGTGCCAGGCTTTCACAAGCGTCAAGTGGGGCGGAAATAGGCAGCTGAGGAGGAGATACCGCAGCGGCTGGAGCAGACGCAGCAGAATCCAGGTAAGTGGGCCATTAGGCATTCTTGAAGATGCTGGCAGACAGCAAGGAGGCACTGGAGGAGGCAGATGAGCTGGGCCGGCTGCTGATTGCTGTGGAGAAAGTGAAGTTTCCTATGGCCAGGATTCTCACCTAGCCCTGGTCAGCTTGCTCACAATACACGTGTGGGCGGTAGGTTGTTACTGACTCTAAATAAAGAGCTCCGCCCAGTGCTCTAGGCGACAGGGTTGCAGGGCTGCAGGGCTGCAGGGCTGCAAGGCTGCAAGGAAGAGAGCACAGACTGGAGTAGTGGCAGCGCCCAGGAAGAGACTGAGACAGGCTGCGGGGGCAGAGAGGCCCAGAGGCAGAGACCGGCTTGCTGCATAGACTCGTTCTGAGTGGACGGCATTCTAGTGATTGACCTGCCCCCGTGGGAATAAAGTTGGGTATAAGCCCTTTCACCTGAAGAAAGTTCCACTGTCATTTTTTCGGTCTCGTTGAATCCATAGTAAACTTGTTCGGGGGTGAAACCAATTGGCAAGACCATTGCAAAGACAGCGTCGCTGCATACGCCCACCCCACCACATAGCAACCGCAACCACCACAACGACCTGGACCTCTGCAGGCGGGGCTGCTCGGTCAGCTCCCGCCTGAGCAAGGGGCTGGCCCGGGTCCAACGAGGCAGCTTCATCCACAGGGAAGCCTGCCAGAGACTTACCCAGGAAGTCCAGAGAGCCTGCTGTCCTTGAGGATATCCTCTCACGGCATTGCTGCAAGCACACAGTCACAAAAAAGGTGGAGGAAACATCCCTGAGCCACCCAGCACTCCACCAAGTGCCCCTCACACCAGCAAGACCCAGTGCCCACGGCTGACAGGTGAAGCCTGGCACAGCCAGGAATAACAAAAGACATGTGTCATTAGTAATAATAATGATAATAATAAAGTTCATTGAATTTTCAGAGGCCAGAAATTCTACAATGCACCATTTTAAGAAAGAAAAAACATTGCCAATTAAACTGTAGGATAATGTATTCTTCTTAGAATTTTTAATCTTATACTATTAACTTATTTAAATTTTTTATTTTTTAGATTTTATATACATGCATAAGAAAGAAAATTTGTGGGAAATGAACTGGTTAAAATAATTCCTAAAATGTTTTCATATTCAGAGCCTGAATCCTATGGATATATTTTGGCTTCAGTCTTGACATCTGCGTTTTCCGCCAAGTGGCACCCACCGCCATCAGGAACCCTGGTGATTAAGTGTTTCTTAAAGAGTGTTCCATACTGTTTTCAGGATTTTCTTCTGAACCACTGGTACCAATTTGTAAATTTTGTTGTTAACATTTCTTTGATTTATAAAAAAGTGTCAACAGAATATTTCAGATGATAACCAGGACTTATATAGTCATTTTCCATGTAGTCTTTAAATAGTCTATTGCTTGAAATGTCGAAGAATTGCAGTTGTCCAGTAAGGAGATAAGTAATAACAACCAAGTCCCTTACACATGCAGGTAAGAACGATTACATCACAGCTTGTTACCTGGCTGGCAAGGGCTGTAAAATCCATCAATCTCAAGAGATGCTGTGTTAGTTTCCTATGGCTCCTATTACAAATTACCACAAATGTGGGGTTTAAGACAACACTTATTTATTCTCTTTCATTTCTGGAGGCTACAAGTCTGCATGCAATCAGTTTCATGGGACCCAAACCAAAATGTGGGGAGGGCCATGTTCCCACAAGAGTCTCTAGGGGAGAATCCATTTCCTTGCCCCTTCCGTTTTCTAGAGATGCATTTCTGAGCTCATGACCTCTCCCTCCATCTTCAAAGCCAGCAGCATATAACATCTTCCAACTTCTCTGCACTTCCATGTCACACCACCTTCTCCCTTAGTCACTGCAGTCAAGACTCCCTCTGCTCCTTTCTTAATAAAGACACTTGTGGTTACATTTAGGGCTCACCCAGATAATCCAGGATAATCTCACCATCTCAAATTCCTCAGTCACATTTACAAAGCAACTTTAGCCATATAACATGACAAAATAAATAAATAAACAAAACTTAACAGTGTTGAAAATACTGAGGTAGCCCATAAGCAAATGAAAGACTTCAACCAGTATTTGGAAGTTAGAGAATGGATAAAGAAAAGGTATTTAATGAAGCCAGGAAGAGGAAGCTACTGCCTAAAGTACATGTGAAGGATGATACAGTCAAGGGCGCTGATCAATCCTTAAGAATCCTAGAAAAGAAGCTTTTCACTGGAACCCCAGGTACACCGGAGGGAACAAGTAAGATGAGGTACCTTACTAATTAAAAGTCTATATACAGAACAGTCAACACATCAATTCCACTCTCCCTCTATCAGCCAAGTTTTTACCCCTCTGGCAAATAAATAAAAAGTCCTCCTCAGAATAAATCAGATGGCTCAATGAGGAGAGGCTCAACATGCAAAATGCAAGCTCTGGAATCATAGGACTTTCCATGATGTGTGGGATTTGGCCACCCAAGCGAAAGGGCCCAAAGTGTTAAAACCAGATTCCACAACCATCTGAATAGAAGTTCAAGGTTTGCTGGAGTTAACTATATCATGTATTATGGGTTCAATTATGACCCCAAAAAGATATGTTGAAGTCCTAACCCCTAGTACCTCAGAATGTGACCTTCTTTGGAAATAGGGTCATTGCAGATGTAATTAGTTAATATGAGGTCATACTGAAGTAAGGGGGGCTCTTAATCCAATATGGCTGGTGTCCTTATAAGAAGAGGAAAAGAGACACAGGGACACAGATACACAGGGAGAACACCATAGGAGGATAGAGGCAGAGACCGGAGAGATGCTCCTACAAGCTAAGGAACTCTGGAGATTGCTGGCAATCCCAGAAACTGAAAGAAAGGCTTGGAACAGATTTTTCCTCTGAGCCCCTAGGAAGGAACCAATTCTGATCCTGCTGACATCTTAAATTTGGGCTTCTGCCTCCTGAACTGCGAGAGAACGCATTTCTGTTGTTTTAGGCCTCCCATTTGTGGTACTTTGTTATATCAACCCTAGGAAACTGATACACTCTATAAATTAGTTTTACTATATCAATTTTTCTCAGTCTTGGCATATTTCTTCCAATCTTGGCATACTTGAACAGCCAGTGGAAATGGCACAATGAAGAAAAAAGTAATGGGTTAACCAGGACCTATGGGCTACTGGTTATTTCTTGTCTAGACTTCCCTTAAAAGGCAGGGAATTCTGAGGAGAGGTCATTTACTGTGAAAGAGGATCAGTGCCACAAGTTATGTTATTCAGCATTAAACCATTTCAGCCAGTACCGCTTACTTAAGTTGATGTAGTCCCTTTTAGTTGTACACAGGCTTATGATTGTTTTGGCCCCTTCGACCCAGTATTATAGGGTTTCTAGATTCTCTCAATCATCTATTTTAGAAAGCATTTTTGCTGTCCCATGTTTCTCCTTTCTGCTCTCAGTATTCTTCTCCTTTTGAGAAAAACAATGTGTAATACTCAGGAGATACTGAGAAGCTCAACTTGGTAGAGATACTGTTTCCTTGCCGTTTTTTCTCATCCAAATTCCCAGGGAAAGAAACCTGATTGGCTCAGCTGGGCTGAGTACCAATTTAGCTGTAACCAAGTGTGGTAAGGGTGGGGAAGGCTGCCATGTGGTACAAAATCGCTGCTGGAAGCCTTCCATTGGCTGTAGATAGTCCATAATAGCAGTCATGAGCTGGGCAGACACTCTGAAAGTGTTCTCCTAAAGCCATTATTTATAAAAATGCAATTACTATCCTGTATATATGTCCTGATAAAGATTGTCTAATAAAATTCTAAAGGTGGAATTGTTGGGCTAAAATATATTAATATGTTTAAAATTTTTAATTCATGTTATCAAAGTGTTCTTCAAAGCATTGGACTAATTCACACTCCTATCAGCAGTATATATAAAATGACCATTTGACAAAACGCAATACTTTTGTCATTACTGGGTCTCATTTCTTTTAAACTTTTGCCAATTTGGTAAAAGAAGATGGTATCTTGTTGTTTTAATCTGTCTTTTTCTCTTATCAATAAAACTGAAAATTTTAATCTACTTTTTGGATATTTTAATTTCTGAATTTTTAAAGAGTCTATCCATATGAATTACCTACCCATTTTTAAGTAGGGCTGTTTTTTTCATCCTAATTTTTTATAATAGTTTTTTATATATTAAACATATTTACTTCTTAGCATGTATGTTGGAAATATTTGTTAGTCTTTTTGTTTATAGAGGATTTTTATTTGTGGGGGGAGGTCCTAGTTAAATCTAGAAAGATACTTTTACCTAAATATTGATTGTCCTGAGATCAACTTAGTAACAGATTTTTAAATATTCTGGAGAACAGTATATTTATATAAAATTTCAACATGTTAATATTAAATTTCAATGTTAAATATGTTCATATTAAATAGTGACAATTGAATCTTGAGTACTTATTGAGCATGAAGTGCCAAGCAAATGTTTAATCATAGCAGCCTCTGTTACACCAAACAGCTATCTAATTCCATCCTCTTCTATTTATTCATGACCATAGGTCAGCCTTGGTCTTTTCCCACCTGAATCTCTGCAGGTGGCCCTGGATTGTCTCTGCCTGTAGGCTTATCTAAGCCATGTCTCCTTACTGCCCCTAAAATAATCCTTCTGATATACAAATTTCATCTTGCACATCTGCTTAATCCCTTTTGATGATTTCCAATTGCCTACATGATAAAAACCATGCTTTGCCCAAGGCCCTTCACCACCTACAGCCTACCTAATTTCTCCGCCTCCTTTCTGTCCATGTCAGATACACTCCAGCCACAACAGACATATTCTAGTTCTCTAAATGTAACCTGTTGCTTCACAGATTTGTAACACCTTCCATTATTCCTTCTACATAGAACCCCTTCCTGTCCATCATTATTGATGAACTCTGTTCATTTGATTTAGATTCAACCAAGTCTTTGCATGTTCCAGGAAGCTCTTCTGCCTCTCTCTCCTGTT